GACCGCGGAACACGTCTGGTCCGGCGGACCAGGATTTGGTCCGGCGGACCAGGCGTATATTTTCCTCGGTCCGCCTTCTCTTCCCGTGGCTCGGCGGACTGCATGTGTTTTCCAGTCCTGGTCCGGAGCTGACCACGCATGGTCCGGCGGACCGGGACTGGAACCTTCTTCTTCCTCGCGTTTTTCTCCGATTTCAGATCGATTTTTCTCACCCGAATCGATTCGGGGTGGCTTCTAAATACCAATTAAACATGCATTTACATCCCTAGACATGTTCTAAGTCTCAAACACGCAAAGAAAATCTCGAATGCACCATTAAACATTGAAAACGAGATTGCACAAATCCAACTCAAGCCACTCACTTGTTCTTGAGCTTAACCGAGCTCGTGTGAGTTCCCCGTGGCTCCACACGACGCGTGAAGCTCCGGGACACGTCTGGGCACGTCCCTCTTGGTTTCTCCGAGCTCCTTTCTCTCTGGTTCGCCTCCACTCTCTCCCTTTTTCTCTCTTTTTCTTCTCCCCAATTTTAGCTCGCCATGGCCAAATGTAGAGGTTGGGAGGGTTTTATGTCGCGGGAGAGAGGTCGCAGGGGCCGACATCCAGGCCCAGGGGCAAGCCTGCAGCGTCCTCCAGGCGTCGGACGGTGGCTGGACGCGTGTGGATGCAATTTCCGACGAGTTCTCGCGTCCCGAAACTCGCAACAGAGCGAGCTGGAAACCTGTCGGATTCCGGTCCGCCGGACCAACTCCTGGTCCGCCGGACCGGAATCTTTTTTTTTTAAATTTTCTTCTTTCCGGTCCGCGCTGTCCAGCTGGGTCCGCCTGGGTTGGTCCGCCGCTGACCACTCCTGGTCCGGCGGACCAACCTCCCTTTTTTTTTTCTTTTCCGTTTCTTCGTTCCTTGTCGATCCTTCCCGCATGTGACGATCCTCGTGCCTTTCCTCGGCATTGTACTATTTATTCTTGGTGATTTCGTGATGTTCCTATTTAATTATTTATATTTAAATAATTAAATATTCCATTCGGGTTTCGGGGTATTACAAATCCTCCCCCCTTAAAATGAATTCGTCCTCGAATTCAGAATCACGGAGTATCATCACCAAAACATATTTCATAACTTCACGTCATCTGAAACTTAAGTCTGTTACAACCCAAACGTCATACATAAGGAGTGCGTACAAGGCTCAAGTGAATAGATGCGGATAACTACGACGCATCTCTGCCTCGGGTTCCCAAGTCATGTCAGAGACCCCTTGGCTTCGCCACAAGACTTTCACGAGTGGTACCTCCTTCGTACGCAACTTCTTGATCTTCCAGTCCACAATCTGCAGCGGCTCGTCGCGGAAGCATGCAGCCTCCGTAAATTCCAACTCCTGGGGCCGTAGCACGTGAGAAGGATCCGCTACATACCTCCGCAGCATCGACACGTGAAACACGTCATGGATGTTCCCCAGCTCCGGTGGCAATCCAAGACGGTATGCAACAGCTCCCACTCTCGCGATCACGGGGTAAGGTCCGATGTAGCGCGGCTTCAGCTTCCCGCCCTGTCCGAACCTCGCATGACCTCGCATTGCCTGTACCCGAAGAAAGGCGTAATCTCCGACATCAAGCTCGAGGTCTCGACGTCGCTGATCGGCATATGACTTCTGTCGGTCCTGCGCCGTCTTCAGATGGGCGCGAATCCTCCGTATCGCCTCCGTGGTTTCCTCCACGATCTCCGGCCCAAATTCGCGACGTTCTCCGATCTCTGTCCAGCACAACGGTGTCTTGCACGGTCTCCCGTACAAGGCCTCATATGGAGACACTCCGATGCTCGTGTGATGGCTGTTGTTGTACGCGAACTCGCACAATGTCAGATACTGGTCCCACGGAGCTCCCCACTCCATAATACAAGCTCGGAGCATGTCCTCCAGAGTCTGTATCGTCCGCTCCGATTGGCCATCTGTCTGAGGGTGGTATGCAGTGTTCATCTTGAGCTTCGTCCCTAGTGCCTCCTGTATCGCCTTCCATAGGCGTGACGTAAATCGGGCGTCCCTGTCCGAGATGATCTCGTTTGGAACCCCATGCAGACGCACGATTTCATCGACGTAAGTCTGCGCCAGTCGCTCGATCGAATATTCCTGCCGGATGGGGAGGAAATGAGCGGATTTGGTTAGTCGGTCCACGACTACCCAAATGGCGTTCTTCTTGCTGGGCGTGAGTGGTAATCCGACCACGAAGTCCATGGCGATCGAATCCCACTTCCACTCAGGTATCTCCAGCGGTTGTAGCTTCCCTCCCGGCATTTGTCGCTCTGCCTTCACTTGCTGGCAAGTGAGGCATCTCGCTACGTAGTCCGCCACATCCCTCTTGACTCTCGGCCAAGTATACCACTGTCGCAGTCCTTGGTACATCTTGCTTGCTCCGGGATGTATCGCTAACCTCGACTGATGTGCCTCCGACAAAATCTCCTGCCTCAGCTCTGGGTCATCGGGCACACATAGTCGGTTCCCCAGTCTCAACGCTCCCTGTTCGTCGATACGATAGCCCTTAAGGCTATATTCCTCGATGTGATCCATGTATCGAGCGAGTAATGGATCACCGCGCTGTCCCCTGACTGCGCGTTCTATCAGAGTCGGCGTCGACTCTTCCACTGTCAACGAGAGATGTCCCAACATCGCAGTCAACTCCGCGGCGTATGCCCGCTAAGTTCTTCTTCCGACTAAGAGCGTCTGCCACTACGTTAGCCTTCCCTGGGTGGTAGGCTATCTCCAGATCGTAATCTGCAATCAGCTCCAGCCATCTTCGCTGTCTCAGGTTCAGATCCTTCTGAGATATCACATAAGTCAAGCTCTTGTGATCCGTGTTGAGCTTAACTTTCTCCCCGTACAGATACGATCTCCAGATCTTCAGCGCGTGAACTACCGCTGCTAGCTCCATATCATGCGTCGGGTAGTTCTCCTCATGTTTCTTTAGCTGCCTCGACGCGTAAGCGATTACGTGCCCCTCCTGCATCAACACACAACCGAGTCCGTGTTTGGACGCGTCGGTGTATACCTCATAGAGCATACCCGGTCGTGGCAGTGCCAGGATCGGAGCTGATGTCAACCTCTGCTTCAACTCTCTAAAGCTCCCCTCACACTCAGTTGTCCAGTCAAACCTGACGTTCTTCCCCGTCAGCTTCGTCAGGGGCCGAGCTATCTTGGCGAATCCCTCAACGAATCGCCGATAATAGCCCGCTAGTCCCAGAAAACTCCTGACTTCCGTCGCAGAAGTTGGAGATTGCCACTCCATGACGGCCTCAATCTTGGCTGGATCGACCTGAATACCCTGGGCTGATACCACATGTCCCAAGAACCCAATCTCCTGTAGCCAAAAGCTACACTTGCTGAACTTAGCGTACAGCCGGTTCTCTCTCAGTCTCCACAATATCTTCCGCAGATGCTCCTCGTGCGTCTGCAGATCCGGTGAGTAGATGAGAAGGTCATCGATGAAGATGATGACAAACTCATCTAGATAGTCCATGAACACGCGGTTCATAAGCTGCATGAAAACCGCAGGCGCGTTCGTGAGCCCGAAAGGCATAACCACAAACTCAAAGTGTCCATATCTCGTTCGAAACGCCGTCTTTTGTATGTCATCCTCCTTGACCCGAATTTGATGATAGCCGGATCGCAGATCGATCTTCGAAAACCATTGGGCTCCCTGTAGCTGGTCAAGCAACTCATCAATCCTCGGTAGTGGATAACGATTCTTGATAGTTACTTGGTTGAGCCCTCGGTAATCGATGCACAACCGCATACTCCCGTCCTTCTTCTTCACGAAGAGTACCGGTGCTCCCCACGGTGAGACGCTAGGGCGAATGAGACCCTGCTCCACCAACTCGTTCAGTTGTTTCTTCAGCTCGGCCATCTCCGTAGGTGCCATCCGATATGGAGCCTTGGAAATCGGCTCGGTACCCGGTAGCACATCTATGCTGAAGTCAACTTCCCGACTCGGTGGTAGCCCTGGCAGATCCTCGGGGAACACGTCAGGGAACTCCCGGGCAACCGGCGTATCCTCTAGTCTCCTCTCCGATTCCTCGGTAGCTGTAATGACTACCAAGAATGCTTCATTGCCCTTCCTAATCATCTTCTCGGCTTTCAGCGCCGAGATGATCGGGTCCGCTGCCGGCGCTCCTCGTCCTCGGAACTCGAACCCTCCGAATTCATCCGCAAACCAGATTGTCCTCTTGGGACAATCAATGTAGGCTTGGTACTTCATCAACCAATCCATGCCCAGAATAACATCAAATCCTCCGATAGGTACCACAATGAGATCTGCGGTTAGTAGACGACCGCAAACCTCAAGGGGTACGCCTCGTAGGACCCCGTGCACTGTCAAGGTGTCTCCCGAAGGTATGCGCACGGTGAAGTCATTCCTTGGCTCGATATCCCTAGTACCGATCACATCCGCTAAGTTCGTACTCACGAAGCTGTGAGTCGCTCCCGTGTCAAACAAGGTATAACAGGGCACCCCGTATAAGAAAAGGGTACCTGCGATAGTCCTCGTTATGTTTGCATTCAAACAATAGTGGGTTGTCCCACACCGGACAACGAAATCACCCAATATAATTAGAGAGGTACCTGCGATCGCCGCAGCCTCCGCTCCTTCTGGACAAGCTTCCTCCTCCTCCTGGATGTCTCGTTCAGCATCAAGAGCATACACTCTCGGTGTGGCTCCAGTCCTCACTGGTGGTCGGGGTGGTCTGCTTGCCTGGCCTGGTGGTCGTGGGGCCCTTGTTGCTGGGGCCGGTGGTCCAGTAGGCCTCGTCGGACAACGGGAGGCAATGTGTCCAGGCTGGTCGCAACGGAAACAGATCACTGGTCCCCTTGCTGCTAGTGGTGGTGGGGCACGATCAACGGGCGCCTTGCCCTTGTTGCGCAGGTCGTTGCTCCGGGCGTTCCTCCCAGATGAACCCGCACCGAAGTACCTCCCAGCGGGGCTCCGCTCCCGGATCTTCCCCTCCTTCTCCTCTTGCTCTCCACGTTCTACCTTCTCTAGCTGGGCAATATACCGACTCAGCGTCGGATACTCCTGGATCTCGATCCTCCTCCGCAGGTAGGGTAGCAATGAACTTCTGGATCTTCGACGACTCGGTGGGCACCAGATGCCCTCCATACCTCAGTAGGCGGGTGAACTCCTCCTCGTACTCGCTGACGGTCATATCTCCTTGCTGCAGCATGAGGAACTCTGCTACCCGGTACTCCCGGTCCTGTTGCTGGAAGTACTTCGTCTCGAATTCCTGTCGGAACTCCTCCCAGGTAAAGCGATGTCCTGCTGGTGCCTCCTGCACCACCTTCGCCCACCAATGTCGAGCTTGACCTGACAGGTGATGGCTCGCAATCAGAGCCCGATATTGGTACGGGCACTGCAGGTACTCCAAGTCCTGAGACATCTGGGTGAGCCACTCCTCTGCAGCTTCCGGTTTCACCGACCCCTCGAATCGCGGGGTATGCATCGCCCGCAACTCCTTGATGATAGGAAGGTATCCCGCCATAGCAGCAGGCATCGGCGACTGGTGTGGTTCCTCCTCCCTCGGTTCCGGGTCTCTTGCCGGGGGTGGTGGTGGGGCGTGAGCAGCCAGGTGCTGCCACACGGTCTCCTGGAATTGACGAAACTCAACCCTCCACCCTTCGTCTCCGGGGTTGGGCGGTGGAGTCTGTTCGGGGACGTCGTCAGCCCTTGCCGCAAGTCTAGCACGTCGTGGCGCCATTTCACTGCACCACATTTAATACAGTTTAGCAACTGACGACCGATTCTGCATCATCGATGTACGGACCTCTACAGGTGAGGATTTTCTTCGGACATGGTTTGAAAACATTTTTCGCAGAAAATCATTGGGTAATGAGCACGATTCCTTCCCGAGGAAAGAACGTGGCTCTGATACCAAAAGTTGTGACACCCGTAACCCGTGTACAGTATACGGGCTGTGCCACATGGACGATATAACGTAATTTATCTGAAAATTGATGTATAGAATTGTGAAAAATACGTGTTAATAAATAGATAAAATTCTTGAAAAAAAAATCATAATGGTTGAATGAAGGTATGTGTAACCTTTTACCTCATTAGATATCAGAATACGGTTTACTCGTACGGTTGTAAACTTCAAACAATCCAGTATTTTGTAGTTATTCAAAAATTGAATTTACCACATTAGTAACTACAAGATGATTATACAAAGTTTACACGGGCATCACAAGAGAAAGCAGAGCGTATATTTACACATTTTCAATCGTATTACGTAAGAAAAAAATAACACGAGGGGGTTTTACTTTTTTGTAGGATATATGTTGGGGTTTTACTTTTAAGGTTTCATGTAAAAAAAAAATAACAGAACAGATTTTACAAACCTATAACATGGAACTACATTCTTAACGGTGTGGAATCCGAATTCTAACTAGCAGATGCTCAATTCTAACCGCATTCTAGCCAACTCATCCGACCGGTTTAGTGATACTTTTCCCTAACACGAGGGAGACAAATCCCGTCTTGATCGTTCTCTTACCCTATCACATAGTTCATAATGTATCTAATCGTGCCTTTTTATAATTGTGTGGTTAGTGCACATAGCTTGATTGCATCAAGGCACACTAATTCATATGTTGGGCATCATTGTCGACCTCATCAAATTTTAGGATTCGTGTTACAAACTATCATATGAGATTTACGTCGAGTAGATTATCACTCATACGTTAATTATATTTTTCTAACTTATTGACATATTTGATATGTTGTAAATTTTGAAAGGTTTAGCTCAAATTCAAAATAAGTAAAAAAAAATCATACCAACGATTTCAAGTAAATTTGAGACGAAGAAGATGTTGATGTTGAAGTTTGTATCGAAGTATTTGAAATATAAATCAATATTTTTTATATATATATTTTTTTTTAAATTGATGATTTTTTTGAGATTTTTCATATAATAATATACTATTAGATTTTGCTTTCAAAGATTATTTGAAAGAGGTACAAGAGAGATTTTTTTTTATTGATCCGAGAAATGTTTACAACTATTGAGTAGGATAATCGAGTGTGGGCTATGGGCCATCATCCAATTGGGCTTTGGGCCATTTGCAAATCCTCCAGAGTTCGGTTTAAATCCAATTGGGGGTTAGGGTTTCATTTTCGCAGTTAAGTCGGAGCTTTTGTTTAATGATGGAAGTTGCAGATCAGAATCATTCCGCCTCAGATTTTGTTCTCCACTTTTCTCTGTCGTCGTTTTCAGATCCAGCAGTTCTCTCTCTTACTGGGAGAGATTGAGATGCGGGTTTGGTCATAGTGTCGGTTCATCCAATCAGATGGTTCGGTGGTCTCGTACCGTTCCATTTTGACGATTGCAGTCAGTAATTTGTTCAATCAGATGCCTTGCGTTGTTGATTTCAGTGAGTCACTGAGTGCAATCGTTCAAAATGAAACTGTACGAAATCGTGATAAGTTGTTTCTGCCGCTGAGGTCAAGAACTGGTTTTGGGGAAAATCATCAAACTCGGTTACGATCCTGAAATTGTGAATGTAATCACATTCATCAGCGGAATCTGTGTGGAAGGTAAGCTTTCCACCGCATCAATCTTCGTTGACGGAATGGTAAAAGATAGAATTCATGTGGCAATCGCTTTAGTTGATCGGATGCTATTGTGAAGGGCATTTGCGAACTAGGGGACTTTGATTTAGCTTTAAATTTGCTCATCTAGATGGAGAAAGGCATGTTGTAATGTATAGTACGATTATCGATTTCCTTTGAAAAGGCTGATGCAGTTAGTAAGATGGATGATCGAGGAGTTGCGCCACCAGATGTTTTTACCCGCAACACTTTGAAAAACGGTTAGTGAGTGATATGATCAAAAGGAGAGTAATTGATGATTTTATTAAAGATGGGAAGTTTTTAGAAGCTACAGAAGATTACGAGCAAACGATACAAATAGGATCAAATATTTGGTTCTACGGCTATCAAGGGATGCTCTCTAGAGGCACTCTGAACGATGTCTTACGTTGTTCCTCTGTTTCATGTCGTCGGAGATTGAGATGTGGGTTTGTAACCAAGAAAGGATCGGGGTTTCGTTCGTGACCGCACTTTATGAAGAGAGATCTAATTAGTTATGGTTGGTTTTAGAGATGTTCCTTGAGGATTCTGTTTGTTGTATGCCGAATCATGGGATGGATGAGCTTATCACTTTGAATGTCCCCTTGTGTTGTTTTCTAACCATACCCAAGTACAGAATATATTTGTACCATCAAATCCAAATCCCAACGAAAGAAAGTATTTGAGTTACAGAAGATATTTGAAAAATCTGGGAATTAGAATCCCCCGTTGATAAATATTGGTTTTTATATGATCCAATAGATCCACGGTCCAAAATCTGGGTAAGATATATTGTCCAGCTGGGTCCGCCTGGGTTGGTCCGCCGCTGACCACTCCTGGTCCGGCGGACCAACCTCTCTTTTTTTTTTATTTTATTTTTTTTTTCTTTTCCGTTTCTTCGTTCCTTCCCGCATGTGACGATCTTCGTGCCTCTCCTCGGCATTGTACTATTTATTCTTGGTGGTTTCGTGATATTCCTATTTAATTATTTATATTTAAATAATTAAATATTCCATTCGGGTTTCGGGGTATTACAACGAAGATTTTTCCATTAGGTCTCCCCCTCAGATCCACGCCCAAACACTCACCAGAGGAAAGAGATTTGCCCAATCGGTCTCTTCCTCAGACACACACTAACTCAAAAGTGAGTTATCACTCACCAACAAAAAGACTCTCTTTTAGTAAAATATGTTTTGCTCTCCGTAAGAACTGATATGCAGTTGCTCTCTCCTTTATATAGGCTCCTCCAGTTCGCCTTAGATCTCAACGAATTGATTTGATAGACTCCTCTTTGATTATCTTTGATTATCTTTATCTCCAAGATCTCATATTTATCTCTTGTTTGACTCTATCTCTTCACCCTTTAACCTTATCTCCAAAATCTTATCTTTATCTCAAATCTCCTCAAATCTTCTTGGCTTTGATTATATCTTCATCTCTTCAAATCAAATCCAAACTTCGTGGCTATATCTCTTCAGATTGCTTTTCCTAAAATCTCTCCAAGTGGTTGTCATTGAGTCCATCTCAATCTGTCTTTGACTTTTACTCCAACTCTCCAGATTTACCTCAAAATATTTCGAGTTGTATCTCGCCGGATTTCTCTCCTGAACCTACATTATCCACTTAACAACCAAAACAACACATGTGCAAATAATTGCACTAACACAAATATTTGATCCTATTTGTATCGTTTGCTCGTAATCTTCTTTAGCTTCTAAAAACTTCCCATCTTTAATAAAATCATCAATTACTCTCCTTTTGATCATATCACTCACTAACCGTTTTATCGAAGTGGTGCGGGTAAAAACATCTGGTGGTGGCGCAGCTCCTCGTTCATCCATCTTACTGAAGAGATCAACTGCTATAAATACATATTTCTTGGAAGAAAATTTTTTTAAAAAAAGGTTATTCGTGCAAAAATGTTTGTGTAATTCTATTTTTCAAATAAATTATGAATTTCTATTCAATATTTACAGCACAGAATTGAAATTGAATAATCCAATGCAACATGATAAAACTAACATTACAGACATTTTTTTAATTTTATCCATCAAATTAGACAAGTGATGAAAACATTATATACAGTGGATAATCAAACGTAATTAATGTCTAAACAATAATATATTTCTTTTTTTTTCTAATGGATATCTCTGTCGCTCAAATATTATAATATATATATATATATATATATATATATAGAAAGAGAGGAAAATCCGAAAATGTATAGATACGGTGCCATCATTAGGAAAAGAGGTCCATAAATCCTTTCTCGAATCTACCTTCACGCATCACATCTGTGTTCAAGCTCATGGTGCATTTATCCGCGGAAAACCCACAGCTTCGCATCTCTCGTATCAGCTCGACAACCTCTGATGTAGAGCCATGTCTCATGTGACCTCGGATCAACTCGTTATACGTATGACCGTCCGGAAAACACTTGGCTTCTTTCATATCTCTAAACAGTCTCCGAGCCTCACCGAGTAAACCTTTTCTACAAAGTCCAGAGATCATTATGGTATATGTCCTAACATTTGGTTCGGCCCCTTTACCGAGAAGAAGCCTTTTGAACAGCTGAAATGCCTCTTCGACCTTCTCATCCACACACAAACCACGGATCATTGTAGTATGAACAACTATATCGAGGTCCATCCCACTATTTTGCATCTCATCGTATAACTCTAGTGCCTCTTCTACTCTCCCGGTTTTGAAAAGACCATCCAGCAAGATGGTGTGAGTGATAAGATCGGGAGAGAGACCGAGAAACTGCATCTCTTGGAAAAGCATTTGGACAGCTTTAAGGTCACCTGCCCGGAAAAACCCTTCGACAAGAGAGTTGTAAGTATAGATATCGGCAACAACTCCTCTTCGAGGCATCTCACTAAGGAGCTTCATGCCCTCGTCCATCCTACCATCCTTGCAATACCCCTTTATGAGAGCATTAAAAGTCACTGTGGTCAGAGGGTATCCAAGGGCAACCATAGACTCAAATATCTCTTTCGCCTCATCAAGGCGTTTCTGAATGCAGAGTCCATCTATCAACGAAGTGTACATGAATGTATCCGGAACCAAACCCATGTGTATCATCTGATCATACAACTCTTTAGCCTCTACAAGCTTCCACTCTTTAACAAAACCACCGAGTAACCTGGTAAAAGTAACAACATTAGGCTTGATCTTCCTTTGGATCATATCATTCAATAAACGGGAGGCATCGTTCAATCTCCCGGAACTACATAGGCCATTTATCAATGTGTTGTAGGTGATGACATTTGGATGAACACCTCGGTCATACATCCTACTGAAAAGGTCAACTGCATCATCTACGAGTCCACCTTTGCATAGACAATCGATGATAGAGCTGTAAAATACGACATGGACGTCATCATGTCTTTCCTCCATCTCGGTGAGCACATCTAAAGCTAGAGCCGAATCTCCTAACTTGCAAATGCCTTTTACGATAGCACCATATGCGACTAGATCGGGTTGAAAGCCGTTCTCTACCATCCAATCAACCACAGCGACTGTCTCATGAATTCTGCCTTGGAGAGAAAGCCCGTTGATGAGGATGTTGAATGTGATCATGTTTGGTTCGCAACCCAGTTTCATGATCTTTCCCAGAATCGAAAATCCCATGGCCACTTGACTTGAACGGCAGAAACAGTTTATCAGAATATTCAAAGTGCAGATATCATGAGGAACCCCGATCATTTCCATCATCTTGCAACGAGAAATCACGACATCGTACCGTCTCATTTCGGCCATTGCACTTAGTAATCTATTGAAATCGACAACGGAAGGGAGGGGGCTAGATCTAGCCATCTGATCGAATACATCAACAGCTTCATCGATATCACTAATACCAAAACCATCCCTCAATCTCTCCCTATAAGAGACAGAACTGCTGAATCTAAGACGAGCGGAGAGATGAGAATGATGGAAACCTGAAGCAGAAGCCAATGCAGCAGAAGCAGCCACTCTGCGAACCACCGTCGACATCTCTGAAGCTGATTCGAACCACAGAACTCAGGAAGGGAGATTTGAGGATTCTGCATTAAAATAGCCCTAAGTTTTCGGCGAGAGGCAGAAACCCTAAGTTTTCGATTAGCCCAAAACCCAAATGCAGGAAAGAGCTCCTATGTTTTTGCTTTCCGAAATATGATTATTAGCGGATAAAAATTGAATTTAAAAAAATGTGGACTTTTTATATAAATTTGAAAAATATTATTATTTTTTAATCCACAATTATTGAAAATGGAAAATAATATCTTTTATTTATATCATTATTATCTTTTGAAATGTTTTTTTTTTATTATCTGAAATCATAAAAAATAGGATTTTTCATTCTAACAAATTAACTTACTTTTTGTGTAGCGCTTATATAAAGTGATAATAAAGATTATAAATAAGTTAGATTCTTCCTCAAAATTTTATGCTCATATTCTAGTGGTTTAAAACAAATTTATATTAAACTAATAAATTAATTAAAAAGTATATATAAAGTGTTAAGTAGTAATTTGGAATATTATTGATAATAACCCATAATTGTATTTAACTAGACACGATTTTAAAAATAAATAAATTAACTGAATCCAAATAAATATTATAAATAATATTATTTTAATTAATAAAAATTGAAATAAAGTAAAAATAAGACCAAATATAAAAATCAATGGATATAATTTTTTATAAACTCTAAATAATTGCATCCAAATTTGCTATGGAAATATAGTACAAATTTAAAATAAACTAATGTACTTGTGTCGTTTTTGTAGAGTAGAGAGAGCTTTGAATCATCTTATTTCACATTTGGAACCGCAGCGATCGGCATCGCCATGCATTGAAACAAAACCAAGACAAAATGGTTATCAATTCCATCACCCCAAATCACAAATCCCATAAAAACACAAAGCAAAGGATCTTGAAGAATTCATATATGTATATGAGAGAGAGAGATGAAACAGAGAGAACAACGGAAGACAGCGCTAGGAGGAAGGAGTAGTGTACCATACAAGCCAATTCAGTAGCAGGCAGCCATTCGAGTTCAACATATACGGTCGGAAGCGCGTAGATGGGACGTCATTTGTCATTGTTTGAGCCACAGGACTTCCATAGGGATAGGAAGAGTGAAACCATCCCTTGCACCACCTCAGATATCCTCTCCAGCTGATCAAGACAAGTGTGTGTGAAATGTTCATCAGAAAACCAAATCACAATCAACTTCTACTTGATTCATATCGAATCTGATCCATTCGACAATTTAGTCATAGAAAAGGAATGCAATGGCTTTATCCAACTTGCATCTCTACGCATTGAACAAACCGTACTTATCAAGCAATGATCATATCGTAAACCATGTAATGAGAGTAAAAGGCGACCAACTCCGACGACTCTAAGTTCAAACGACCACACTCCAAAGCAATCGGATCAAGTATCCTAGTAGGATGTGCTTCCTTCACCATATCCTCCACCTTCACATCTCCTCCATTGACACTTCATCGGTGAAAACAAAGTCGAATCACCTCGACCTAGCCCGGATCCGAACATCGCAGTTTCGATCCGAACTTACCCGAATCTTCTTCCCTTACAGTTTCAAAACGATTTCATTTCTGCCCCGACGAAATCTCCTTCAACACGCCTCCCAACGGATAGCGTATGTATTCTCAGACTCATGGTTGATTAACGGTGCCGTCAAACCAATTGGATATTAACACAACTGAATGGCCCAAAGCCCATATATCAAAGTACAGTTCGTTTAACGGCACCGTTGATCAACCACCGTCTAAAACTTCTGGCTCACATTTCAATCCACCCGTTAAGGTTTGAAATGGTTTTTGGTATTTTTAAAATCTAAAAACAAAAAAAAAATGACAATTGAAATTTTATAGTTTGATTTTTTAAAACCCATTTTAGTGAAATAATTAAATAAAAATCAAAAGCTCAATTCTTTTGGATTTAGAAAACTACAAAATCCAAAAGGTAAAAACCAAAAACTAAAAATAAAAACTATCACTATTTATAGGTTACCTTACAACACTGATAGAAAAATCTAATAGTTCTTAAAAAAAATTAATTAGTTACTTATTTGAGTTTTAAAAAGAATATGGAATTAATAACACTGTAGGGCAGAGCCAATGGGGAGAGAGAGAGTCGATGGAAATCACCATCCATGGAGGCTACTACTCTGTTCCTGCGCCAAAAATGGTTGGAGCAGCTTCCTCTCTTCCATTTCTGATTTGTCTTAAGATCAAAACTCACTTCAACGTTCGATCAGAGATAGCTTCCTCTGTTCATGGTCCATGAAAACGCAACAGCTCTCTTTTGTAACAATCGGGTCCGGGTTTAATGATGTCGGATACTCTGCTCGGAGGCCAATACCGGAACACTGATCTGCCGACGATGTTCTTTATCGGAAGTGGACCCCTGCAAATGCATTCCCATTGCTGTCAGAAACTAATATCCATGCTTTTTTTTTTTTTTGTCTAATACAGAGACTAGGTTTGTTCTAAATCCGATTCTGTTACTCGTTCCTCTTATCAGAAAAATTCCCAAAGAATCGACCACCTTAACGGTAGATGTCGGAACTTAGACAGTTACCAGTTATGAGAATCGAAGCTGTTGTTGCGATTGTCTCCTAGGACAAAGACATAACCTCCGGGGATGAGCTAATACCAAACAGAGAAACAAGGCTTTTAAGCACACCCCTCAAGTATTGGACGGCAAACAAGAAGAAGAGGGAGAGATTCTCACAACTGGTTCCATTTCATAGGCAAGTGGTTCTAAAACAAAATCTTCTTCTCGAACAGTGCCATTTACAGAGAGCTTCCCATCGCGAACCTACATGGCATTGCATCGATCAACGGATAGAAACTGATACGGAAATGTAATATTGTTAGGAGTGTAAACCCAGGTTCCAAAAGGATAAATAAGATCGACCCGAGCGGATGTCAGGGCTTACTTACTTCAACCCAGTCACCTTCCTTTGCAACTATCCTCTTTATGAACACATCAGAAGAACTGTAACCCAATTCCTGCAGATTCAATAGCAGAAACATAAACCCTTTTTTAATTCAACCAACATGAAATACCACAGACAAGAAACCGGATCCGAAACCTACCTGCAAGATGGGAGGAGCCTTGAAGATGACTATATCCGATACCTCTGGCTTCCTGAAAACATAAGAAACCTGACCGGCACCAACATAAACATCATAAGTGCAGAGCTGTAACTAAAGAGTCATTCCTGATAAGACACACCGACAAGGCGACAACTATATCCCAGTTTAATGCAACAGATACATTCCACATATGGCTTATGTAATGACTAGCCACAAGTAACTAGTCATCAGAATTCGTATGATACCATACCAAGCAACAACCTATAAGGCAAAAGAGCAACTAATTTCCACCCTCTCCGGAATCTAGAAACAGAGATAATTCAACATAATTCAGTTCTGAAGACAAACATCTATACAAGACATTCTCCAAACCAAATCATGATCTTTAGACTATAATTACAACATCTACACTAGTCAAAACAGTATGGTTAACTTTAACAACACCAAAGTACAATGATCTAAAACAGAATCAACTGAATCTTTATTGATAGAAATATTAACGCCAAATTTACGTTTCTTACCTTCTCTGCAAGAACTCGATCACCCACATCCAAGGTAGGATGCATAGACGCGGATGGGATCCACTTCGGCTCCGCAAGCGCAGATCGGAAAAGCAGAGTCACAGTCATCGCCGTGAAAGCCGCTTTCGCATCCTCCGAGCAGAAATTCAAAAGCTTGTTGATCCATCCACTCTTCCCACCAAAATCCTTATCATTTAACCCCAAATTCACACTGAACCCTTTGTCGTCGTCACGCGCCGCCGTTCCTCCCCTAAAAACGGTATCACTTTCCGACGAAAACGTCGCCGGATTGTTACACGGAAGCCACCTCGACCCCTGAAGGAACGGGATGATAGAAGAGACCTTGAAACGCGAAATCCCCAAGACGCTCATCCCCGAAGGATCATGAACACTTCCCGTTGAGTTCATGATCGATATCAGACCCATCACAAGCGGCCTCTGGCAATCTTCTCCCCTCGCGATGGTGCTGTACATGGAAGCCGGTCGGAATCGGGACCCAGAACCAGCGACCCACGGGTTGGAACCGGGAGACTTGTGCAGATCCGTCTTCTGGTTGTGTCCGAATGTTCTGGGTTGGACAAAGCACTTGAAGCAAGAGCGTAAGGCGACGGTTCCGACCCGAATCCCGGCGGCGGAAGCAACATTCCGGACTACGTAGCCGGAGAAGGTGAAGGTAACCCTGATCGCCATAATGATGAAGACGGTAAAAGGTAGAGGTAAATCGCTGTGTCGCTGATCAAGAGGGCTTAGGTCCAATGAAGACCTAGAAGAACAAGAACGCCATTTGGTGATTATTCGATAATCGGAAACAGGATCGAAGAATTGAAGGGTTTTTAGTATCTCCGGCGAGATGATCGAAGGCTGATTCGCTGGAGAGATCTGATTCCGGTGACAGACGACCGGAAGAACGCGCGAGCGCGAGAAAGAGTGACCCATGTGTATCATCTGATCATACAACTCTTTAGCCTCTACAAGCTTCCACTCTTTAACAAAACCACCGAGTAACCTGGTAAAAGTAACAACATTAGGCTTGATCTTCCTTTGGATCATATCATTCAATAAACGGGAGGCATCGTTCAATCTCCCGGAACTACATAGGCCATTTATCAATGTGTTGTAGGTGATGACATTTGGATGAACACCTCGGTCATACATCCTACTGAAAAGGTCAACTGCATCATCTACGAGTCCACCTTTGCATAGACAATCGATGATAGAGCTGTAAAATACGACATGGACGTCATCATGTCTTTCCTCCATCTCGGTGAGCACATCTAAAGCTAGAGTGTGAAGAAGACACGTTCAGGAAGAGAGACGTAAAAATGCGGAAGAAAGGAAAAGTTTTGGGTTCTTTAACCGACGCCGATTTATTCGTTTCGAGAACAAGCCTTGCTTGTTTACATTATTCATGAAAATGCCACAGCTTGTTTTCTTTGTCCGTGTATGTATATAATTATTATATATATAACATGTATATATGTATGTGACATATATATATATATATATTTTTTTTTTTATTTGAGCTCGAGAGCCGGAGCATTTTGGGTATGCAGACTAAGGGTGTAAAGGAAGGAGCTATGTTAATCTCAGAAACCTTTAATATCTCAAAACAAATATATATTAGCCCTATCACTTTAGTTTTTTTTTTTGGTAACGGGTGAGTTCATCTAGTACTTTGGTCCAATCTATATCTCCCCAGATACTGGAGCAACCGTTGTCAAACTACGGTCTTTGACCGTAATTAGGCTCCTCTCCAGGTGCGAGGTTCGAACCTAGATGTGAAGTCACGCTAACCATCCGGCCACAAACGCTTGGGTCCTATCAACTTTAGTGCGTTTGAGCTCTTAGAGTAAAAGTAACAAATTGTTGATGGACTGGAGAACATACGAGTAGGTTTCTTATTCGTTTATTTATCACAAGGACAAGGTCCTCTTATTATTACATAATAACGACAAGACAAGAGATACAAACGGCTGTCATGCATACAAAGCATATTATTAATACATGGATCCGGACAATATTATTATCCTTCAATGAACTTGGAGTACCATTTGCCCGAGTCCTTTTGCCTTCTGTCGATAGGATTGGTGAAGTTGACCCAGTTCATGCCGAATCGAATCGTGTAACCATTCCCGAACTCGTAATTGTCCATCGGCGACCACGCGAAGTAACCGGCTACGTTGCATCCCTCCCTACGAAATGCCAACGTACGCGAATGATGAGAAAAAAAAATATCCTTCCCGTATATTGCGTGTCGAACGAATATTATAGAATCAATGGTGTTTTATTAGGACTCACTCGATCGCGCATTTGAGGCACGAAAGATGACTGCAATGGCATTGAATTCTTCCGTCGTCGGCAAGAGCATCGGAAAGGCTTAGATTGCCAAAATCAGAGAATCCTGAGATTATTACACAAATTTGTAAGAAAATATTGTCAATGATTGGAAAATAAGAGGAGAAGAGGGAGAGATAACACACGCTCTCACCATTTTCTGTGATGTAAGTGAGTGGGTTATGGTATTTATCCTTCAAGTGGTTTAGGATTTGACGGAATCCGGGTGGATAGTACACAAAGCTTGCGGCCTGTGGATGAACAGATTTGGGTTCGATCAGGCATGAAAAACGGTTTATGGATATAGGAGTTTATACGACGCATAATGACGTGGCATTTACCTGTACTCCAATGGGAACTCCATCACGATTATCTACAGATATAATGAAAGTTACAAGTTTTTCAGGTTAGCATATAGATGAAGAATATGTATGAAGACTTGGATGTGTGATAATATCAACATACCGCTGAGAGTAACTCGTCGATCCGTCGAGACATCGGGTTGTGCTGGAGAAGGAGGCGGTGCGTCCGCTGCATACTGTGTCAAGTAATAGTTCAAGGCAAGAAAATCGAGGGATCCATTAACCAGCTTGGACTCTGCAGGCGAGAATTTCGGCAGCCTGTCTCCTACAAGCGTTTTCATGATTTCCGGATAATCTCCAAACACCAACGGATCCAAGAACCTATATGCATGGAGCGTAGGATTAGGACACATTTTTTTATTGATGTTACTGTATATTGTATGTTGAAAAATCATTCGTATATATACCATCCGAAAATGAAATCAAATGCCCGGCTAGAAGCTCTTTTATCTGCATCGCTGGAATCATTCAAAGGGACGAACCATCTACCGATGAGGGCAGTTCCAATCTTGCCGCCTTGAGATTTCTGCGCCAAAAAGTTTGGATTTGAGACAAGACACATTTGATGTTTCAATGTTAAATCGTACGAGGAAGGAATAATCATGAAGGACCTGGTATCGTTGTCGGTAGAGAGCGACGGTTTCGGCATGAGCAAGGAGTTGGTGATGGGCGACGATATATGGTTCGGTTCCTGAATATCCACCGAACTCGCATCCTGTGCATCGACCCGGTGGATAGGACCCGTCCCCATACCCTTTGGTTGCCACAGAAAAAGGCTGATTCAATGTGATCCAAAACTTAACCCTATCCCCAAATCTTTGGAACAGGAGCTCCGAGTAGTCCTTGAAATCCTCCCTACAAGGGCAGACGAATTGATGTTAAAATCAAACAGATGGTAAGCTTCTTAATTATGTCGTGGGAAGGAATTATACACTTACACTATCCGTCGGTTCAAGAAACCTCCGTACTCGTCTTCAAGAGTTTGGGGAACATCCCAATGGAATATTGTCACGAATGGCTCTATGCCTGTGTGCGTACATACATCATTCATTATAAACGAGAGGAAATATACATATATATAGACACCCGTATGCATATATATATGTATAGAGAGAGAGAGAGAGAGAGAGATTCAAATTGAAATCTCACCGTTGGCTTTCAATGCATTGATAAGATTGTTGTAGTACGTGATCCCGTTCTCGTCAACTCCTCCGATTAGTCTCCCCTCTAATTACATATATATATATATATAGAGTCCGTCAACATAATAAATGTTTCCAACCAAATGTCATGTATGTGTCTATATCCCTTACTCGGTAGAACTCTTGACCAGGCGATTGAGAATCGATAAGCTTGGACATTCAATCTCTTCAGGAGCTTAACGTCTTCCTGCATACATACATACGTACATACATACATACATACATACATACATACATTTATTTGTGAATCAAACGTCCGAGAAAGAAAAACAGTCGACTGTCCACATACCATATAGAGATCATATGAATCACATGCCACATCTCCACTGCTACGATCCTTAACTTTTTCTGTAACAAGAATACATTATTATACAATATTTTTTATTATAAATAAATCTGGTGTTGTTATAAGGAAAAGGACCTGGATATCTGTGAGTAAAATAATCCCACCCATTGAGAGCTCTATATGCGGCACCTTCAATCTATATAGAATAATATATCAAGTTAGATTCAAAATACATTTAGGATATGTTATCCTTATAATATAAGATATATATACCTGATATGCTGAGGTGGATGCACCGAAGATGAAATTTTTTCGAAAATCAGTCCGGTTAAAAGAAAGTGTGTCATCACAGTTGAAGGGTGGTTTAGCTTCACAGGCCGGTCTGCAAACGGTTTGGCTGGTTATACCCAGCAACTGCGAGAGGAGGATGAGGATGGCGGCTAGACATGATGAAATGTTGTGAATACCCATGATTTAGAATTTTGAGTTTTTTTTTTTTTTGTATATGTATTTGCTGCTGCTTAGGGTTGATGGCTGATGATGAGTCTTTAGGGCTTTATATAGGGTTTGAGAGTGCATGGGAATAGGGTTTTAAGCAACTTGTTACGTACATTCCCATGCATCTGCTCCAACTCCATTCCAGGTGGATCTTAATTTAATATCATTCATTTACACACATAATTACGACAATTATGTTATACTCCTTCCCTTTTGGCTTGCTCGTTATAGTTTTCATGGCTGGAACTTGGATCTTATAGATGTTTTATATCGTTACGTTGTATTAGTTTATGTTTCCATTTCACATAAATTCAAAAAAAAATACACATAAGTTATAAATGCTTCATCTTCGAGTAACTTAAACTATAAGTTAAATGAGAACAACAGCGCAAGTTACATAAAACCAAGGAAACAATGTTTGGAAACAAAGATAGTCGTGTTGTATATCTATATATATATATTATTTATAAGGATAATTTATTTGGACGTGATCAGCTGACAAATAATCATCAATACGGAAATAATAAGCTAAATACTGTTTATGAAATTTACAGTTAAAACAAATTACGAAGCAGGAGAAAAAAAAAACCCAAATTACCAAAGAATAAATTTTTTTTTTTTGCTAAACCAAACTTACCCTCTTGATACGATAGAAAATTCCAAAATGACGAAGAATCGAGTTGTCTCTCTTTTTTTTTTTTTGTTAATTGTAAATTTTATATATGTAGAATATAGTTGTAATCGTATCTAGTTCTCACGAATAAATCCGACAGAAATTAAGAGAAGCAGGATGTTACAACCAGGCAAAATAAACGAGTTGTCTTGATCCTTAAAAAAGGATGGGTTTTTTCTTTTAAACTCCAATAATTTATTTTTTCCAGAAAAAAAATGAATTTGTATCTCCATTTCTGCAAATATCGTCCGTATGTTGCAAGTGGAAATGTGAATTGTTAACCAAACATTATACCACCCTACATGAACCGAAATCAAATTAACTTCAAACTTCTATGTAATCCAAACTAAAAAATGTTTTTGTTGTAGAAAATATGTCTTTGTATAGTGAAATGTGATATCAAACCGGAAAAGGAAACCGAACAAAACAAAACCGAATTCATTCAAGTCTCGTTTCGAGAATTGGCATCTTCCCTAGTAAATAGAAAGAAAAGGAAAATGTTGTTTCTCTATAGCATTAGTTTCTTTAAACGTTGGGAGTTTTTATTAATCTATGTTTATTAATCTATTTTAATCTCGCTCTGAGCAAAGCTGAATTAAGGGATCAGAATTGTTTATCTCGTACGTGGTTATGTTGTATTCATAACTTAATGTCAAAACAAATATTAGCCCTATCACTTTAGTTGCGTTTGAGCTCTTAAGAGTAAAAGTAACAAATTGTTGATGGATTGGAGAACATACGAGTAGGTTTCTTATTTGTTTATGTATTACAAGGACAAGGTCCTCTTATTATTACATAACCACAAGACAAGAGATACAAACGGCTGTCATGCATACAAATCGTATTATTAATACATGGATCCGGACAATATTATTATCCTTTGATGAACTTGGAGTACCATTTGCCCGAGTCCTTTTGCCTTCTGTCGATAGGATTGGTGAAGTTGACCCAGTTCATACCGAATCGAAGCGTGTAACCATTCCCGAACTCGTAATTGTCCATCGACGACCACGCAAAGTAACCGGCTACGTTGCATCCCTCCCTACGACATAGGAATGTACGAAAACGATGAGAGAAAAAAAGATCCTTCTCATATTAGAGAATCAATTGTGTTTTAAGAACTCACTCGATCGCGCATTTGAGGCACGAAAGATGACTGCAATGGCATTGGATTCTTCCGTCATCGGCAAGAGTATCGGAAAGGCTTAGATTGCCAATGTCGGAGAATCCTGAGATTATTACACAAATTTTTTAAGGAACAAAATTGTCAATGATTGGAAAGTAAGAGAAGAAGAAGAATAAGAAGAGGAGATAATACACGCTCTCACCGTTTTCTGTGATGTAAGTGGGTGGGTTACGGTATTTATCCTTCACGTAATTTAGGATTTGACGGAATCCGGGTGGATAATACACAAAGCTTGCGGCCTGTGGATGAAGAGATTTGGATTCGATCAGCATTAAAAACGGTTTATCGACATAGTGAGTTAATACGGAGCATAACGACATGGCATTTACCGGCACTCCAATGGGAACTCCATCACGATAATCTACAGTTGTGATAAAAGTTAAAAGTTTTTCAAGTTAGCATATGCATGCGAACTATACATGAGGACTTCGAATGTGTAATAATATCAACATACGTACAACTGAGATTAACTCGTGGATCGGTCAAGGCATCGGGTTGTGTTGGAGAAGGAGGCGGTGCGTCGGTCGCGTACTGTGTCACGTAATAGTTCAAGCCAAGAAAATCGAGGGATCCATTAACCAGCTTGGACTCTGCAGGTGAGAATTTCGGTAACCTGTCTCCAACAAGTGTTTTCATGATTTTCGGATAATCTCCAAAGACCAACGGATCCAAGAACCTACATGCATGGAGCGTAGGATTAGGACACATTTCTATTGATGTTTGTAGAGGGAATGAGAGAGGTTACTATATATTGTTTGTCCAAATATCGTGTATGTATATATATACACATACCATCCGACGATGAAATCAAATGCCCGGCGAGAAGCTCTTTTATCCGCATCGCTAGAATCATTCAAAGGGACGAACCATCTGCCGATGAGGGTGGTTCCAATCTTGCCCCCTTGAGATTTCTGCACCAAGAAGGCACATTTTGGTGTTTGAATGTTAAATGTGTACGAGGAAGGAATAACGATGATGATGATGTGTACTAAGGACCTGGTAACGTCCTCGGTAGAGAGCGACGGCTTCGGCATGAGCAAGGAGTTGGTGATGGGCAACGATATATGGTTCGGTTCCTGAATCTCCGCCGAATTCGCATCCTGTGCATCGACCCGGTGGATAGGACCCGTCCCCATACCCTTTGGTTGCAAGAGAATAAGGCTGATTCAATGTTATCCAAAACTTAACCCTATCCCCAAATCTTTGGAACAGGAGCTCCGAGTAGTCCTTGAAATCCTCTCTACAAGGGCAGACGAATTGATGTTAAAATCAAACAGTTAGTAAGCTTCATAATTATGTCATGGGAAGGAATTATGCACTTACACTATCCGTCGGCTCAGGAAACCTCCGTACTCGTCTTCAAGAGTTTGGGGAACATCCCAATGGAATATTGTCACGAATGGTTCTATGCCTGTGTACGTACGTATATCATTCATTATAAACGAGAGGAAATATACATATATATACACACCCATATGCATATATATATGTATAGAGAGAGAGAGATTCAAATTGAAACTCACCGTTGGCTTTCAATGCATTGATAAGATTGTTGTAGTACGTGATCCCGTTCTCGTCAACTCCTCCGATTAGTCTCCCCTCTAATTACATATATATATATATATATATATATATAGAGTCCGTCAACATAATAAATGTTTCCAACCAAATGTCATGTATGTGTCTATATCCCTTACTCGGTAGAACTCTTGACCAGGCGATTGAGAATCTATAAGCTTGGACATTCAATCTCTTCAGGAGCTTAACGTCTTCCTGCATATATACATACATACATACATACATATATTTGTGAATCAAACGTCCAAGAATGAAAAACAGTTGACTGTTCACGTACCATATACAGATCATATGAATCACATGCAACATCTCCATTGCTACGATCCGGAACTTTTTCTGTAACAACAGTACATTGTTACATAAAATTTTTTTACATAAAACTAAATTTGGTATTGTTTTAAGGAAGGAAAAGGACCTGGATATCTGTGAGTAAAATAATCCCACCCGTTGAACGCTCTATATGCAGCACCTTCAATCTAATAGAATAAGACATCAAGTTAGATGCAAAATACATTTAGAATATGTTATCCCATATAAGATAAGGTAAGATATATATACCTGATATGCTGAAGTGGATGCACCGAAGGTGAAATTTTTTCGAAAATCAGTTCGGTTAAATGAAAGTGTGTCATCACAGTTGAAAGGTGGTTTAGCTTCACAGGCCGGTCGGCAAACCGTTTGGCTGGTCGTACCCAGCAACTGCGAGAGGAGGATGAGGATGGCGGCTAAACATGATGCAATGTTATGAATACCCATGATTTAGAATCTAGAGTTTTTTTCTTTTTGTATATATCTTTGCTGCTGCTTAGGGTTGATGGCTGATGATGAGCCTTTAGGGCTTTATATAGGGTTTGAGAGTGCATGGGAATGGGGTTTTAAGCAACTTGTTACGTAACATTCCCATGCATCTGCCCCAACTCCATTCCAGTTGGATCTTGATTTAATATCATTCATTTTACACACATAATTACGACAATTATGTTACACGCTTCCCCTTGGCTTCCTCGTTATAGCTTTCATGGCTGGAACTTATGGATCCGACAGATGTTTTATATCGTTACGTTGTATTAGTTTATGTTTCCATTTCACATAAATTCGGATAACACCAACATAATACACACAAGTTATATACATTCATATATGCTTCATCTTCGAGTATAAGTTAAAACGACCGCGCAAGTTACATTATATATATATATATATATATGTTTGGAAACAAAGATAGTCATGTTTGTATATATCTTATTTTGAAGGATAACTTATGTGGATTTGATCAGCTGACAAATAATCATCAATACGGAAATAATACTCGTCGTTTGGCATCAGCACATAGAAGAAGTAAAAAAAAACCCAAATAACCGACCGAACATAACCAAAGAATAAATAATGTTATGCTAAACCGAACTTACCCACTTGATATGATAATAAAACCGGAAATATGCATTTGTACAGTGAGATGTGATATCAAACCGGAAAAAGAAACCGAACAACATAAAACCGAATTCATTCAAGTCTCATTTCGAGAAAGGACATGTGAACCCATATTTGGAGGTTGGAGTTTATGAATTGATCAGCATAGGTTAAAAAAGATTTTTAAAGTTTACTCGTTGTTAGCCATTGAAATGGTAAGTGATCACCAATCAAAGACAATGGCCTAACTCATAATTTGGAAAAATAAATAAGATATATTATAAATGAACTGTAAATTCCAAATTTGAGTCATGATTATGGGTTAAAGTTATAGTTCTGTTGTAAGATTGAATCGAGATAAAACCAAAAATAAATAACTCTTTTCAAATCGAACAAAATTTTAAAAAATGTGTACATAATTTTTCTAAAATTAAATTAAAAACTGAATATAAAAAGGTATAAAAATATTAAATAAAAATGAAGATCTTTTATAACATCAATATTAAAATTAAATTTGAACCAAATTTGAAAAAAGTATGAACCAAAAAGTCGGATATAAAAGCCGAAAATTTATTGTTTTTACAAAATTTAAAAGCAAACCTAAACATAATGGAAAGACGAAATGTACATATGTAACCGAGACTATAGTTTTTAGCAAACACATGTTTATGTCAAATAATTTTTATTTTTATATTTTAACGTGAGCCAGGTTCCAATAAACTGCTAGTCCCGTAGAAAACCGGGTCGTATTAACATTTTTGTCTACGGTTTATATAAAAGTCATATCTTATCACTTAAATTTGGGTAGTTTAACTGATGAAATGAGGGCACAAAATGTTTGTCTCTTCTCGAGTTCAAACCTCAAGTTTAAAGAAGGAACGTATAATTCAAATCACATGGTTTATCCTCTCATAAAAAATTTTAGTCGCGACATTCAAAATATTTAATGTTGCCAGATAAAAAAATCTAGGAAAATAAGTAAAAATGAAATCCATCATTATATTTATATATATACTATAGAATGAAAATTTTGAATGATTATGGTACAAAAGATATTAATATATGTGACGAATATAAAATGTTCTATTGTTGTAGGGAGGAACCTAGAGAAGTCGCAACACACATGCTATAAAGGCAATGATTTGAGAAGCCAAATTGGGCCATGGCATTATAGGTGTAATTATTTACAAAGATAAAATTGTTGGGTGGTTGAGCTTGAGAATTATAAACACGAGCTTAGGATTATAGAAAAATATTAAAAAAAATTAAATTTTGCAGTTCCCCATTATAACCATCACCGAAATCTCATGATGACACTAAACTTGACTATTGGTAGGTCAATGACACCCACTACCTACATATGTTTATTTACATGATTTTTGTTAAGTATTTAAATAGTATACGTATAACCACCATTATGCAATTTTTCTATTATATTTTTATGATTTATGTTGATATTTAGAATTTTGGTCCAAACGTATAACCTAAAACAATTATTTCCGTGGAACCAATTCAACTAGAAAAGTGTATTGATTAAAAAAGACAATTACAATGCGGTAAAATTAAAAAAATGTAAAATAAATGGACGAATCTGAAAATTTACTATGAGAAATGTGGAAATAAATAAATAAATAAACTAGAAATGTATGATTGAGCAAAGGGCATGGAGCAATTTCAGGGAGTAACTCTGATTTGTTGACGGAATGACCAATTTCATGATTCCTTTCTTTGTCCTAATTTCATAATTTTGTTTGACTTTATTTTGGACAGGAATTCTTCAGTTTATATTATTCTGTTTCCCAAACTAATATTCTATTTTTTTATATAAAAAAAAATTCACAGCCGCAAATTTGGGTATGGAAATAGAATTTTTTTTGGTGATTAATATTTGTGTTGGTCTACATGTAATGTAATGATAAAAGAATGGTAAATTTGCAAGTTGTTATTTCAATTATATATATATATATATATAGTCTTTTGGACCTCACTTATCAAATCTCATTACTAACATTTTCAAAGAAAAAATAGCTAATCTTATTTCTATTAAAAATCGATCTAACATCATGGGTAAACTTTAAAAAAAAAATTAATATTTCATTCACTATTTTTACTTTAATTATTCAATTTATTATATTCTATTAACTGATATTTTAATACTTGGAACATCTCAAATAAAAATCGATGACGAATACTACCAAAATTTCACATATATATTAACTAAACTTTAGCATTTAGTTGAATGTATTTTTAAGTTTGTCCCGTAAAAATTCGCGCTCTAATAATTTATTATCATAAAAGCATCTATGATCTAGATAAATGCTATAAATCTTTAATTTGAAGGAATTAACAATATACTATTCGATAATGATATTAATAGACAATTTAAATCACATTAAATAGCTATTGTATCGTTAACAAATTTAAAATCCTCATTTTGCATCTGTTATCACTCTCAAACCAAAGTTATATATATGGATTTTTTTTTTCTGGTCGTTTTGGAACTTATTCCCTGAAGAGGAAAATTTATAATATAAATATTAAAAATCGTTTGTTGGTCATGGATTTGATTCCAAATTTCAGCATTCCGAATTGTATTTTTAAAATTATATACAAACATCTATATGCACTATAATTCTTAAAAATCTTAGAAACAATAGAAATTTACCTGACGTTTATAAAATATAAACATAGATCGGACAACGTACATCTACACAATAATTAACACTAATTTCACCAAAAAAAATTAATCAACACTTAATTAATGTTATTTCACGAAGAACTCGTGACTGCTTGGAAAACGTTGTCAAAGAGATCCTCTCTTCACCAAATCTATATACACTTTATGTTTTTTTCTTTTGCGCTTTTGTGTTCACGGGAGACATTAGACATACACTGAACTCTTTCCTGTAATACATACAATTTCGATTATGTTCGAGTTGAGTTATTTTTGTGTTTATGAATTTTGTTTTTGACAAATTATATCTATTTCATTTTTGTTTTTGTGGAGTTTCAGTTCGAATTGGATTTTTTTTTTGGTTTAAAAAATTGCCCAATTTCTATTATGAAACGAAAAAATTTGGAAAATCATTATTTACTATTACAATATCAATTTAATAGTATTTATGGAGAAAAAGACAAAAAGATATAGGAAGTAGTTTGTTCAGTGTGAGCTTCTTGAATTTCAGATTTTGGTATTGTTAGTTTTAACCAAAACATCAATAATAATAATAATAATGATGATGATGACGGAAGAAACAAAGCTTTTTTTTTTGTTCATTGTTTTCTTGTTTCAGACCGATATGTTCATAGCAGACAGGATTTACAGACCACCATGGTTGTAATTTCAAAGAAAAAAAAGACACAACACACTAACTAAAACAAAAAAACTTCTAACAAAGTTCCGTAACCGCCATTTTTTTTCCCTATGTGCTCTTTGTTTTTTTTTCCTTTCTCCTTCCCTATTCTATATCCCAACACAAAACAAACAGAACGAAAAAAAAAACAAAGAAAAAAACAGAGACACGATGTGACAGAGCAAGAAGACAAAGACAAAACAGAGATACCCAGAAACCAACAAAATAAATTAAAATTTTAAAAAAAAACTAAGAGAGAGAAAAAAAACGGTTCCACAGTTTTTTTTTCACTTGACATTGTTGCCTTGCATGGAGATCTCAAGACCAGGCCACACAAAACTGTCCGTACCGTTACCTTCCATCTCATCCACGTGCCACGTGTCACCACCAACCGTCGCCGGAGCCACCGCCTCTCCTCCGCCACCGCAGAAATAACCCGAATACCCAAAACCCATTTCGTCAAACCCGTATCCACTCAATAGCGACGCGAAGCTTCCATACCCAGAGACCAAGTCCCCTTCCTTTACCTCCTCCACCATGTCGCCAGTTCTGGGTCCGACTCGGGGTCCGGGTTCGTGGGTCGTCGTGGTTTTTGTCGGAGACGAGGAAAGACAGGACGAGGAGGTTGCGTTCGCGTTTGCGTTTGCGGAGGAGCGAGCGCGTTTGGTTGCGGCTGCGGTGGAGGAGCATTTGCGCGAGCCACCACCGACGGGAACGTCGCGGAGGGTGCCACCGTGGGTCCAGTAACGGCGACAAGATTTGCAGAAATGGCGAGGTTGAGAGAGGTTGTAGTTATTGTAGTAGCAGAACTTTGTGTTCGCGGAGTTACAGCGAGGACACGGTAATGGCTCCGACAGCTTCGGCGGCGGAAACGCCGCCGTCGATGGCTGAACCCGACCGGGTTGTCGGGTCTCGTGACCCGGTTCGAACGACGAAGGCATTTAATTTGTGGGTTCGGAGAAAGAGACAAAACAGAGAGAGAGAGAGAGAGAGAGAGAGAATGGCATAGAAGGATAGGGATGTTTTGGGAGTGGTGAGGTGGTCTTTATATATTCTTTTTAACTGACATCGCTCTCTCTCTCTCTAATTTTTTTTCAAAATTTTCGGGGCTTTTCGGGTTAATTATGTAATTTAAGTTTAATATCGAAATGATTAAGAGACTAACAAAAATCATGTCACATATGTTTTTATATGTGATGTACTTTCCCTATCGCCTACCAGTGTAGGAGTTTGATTAAATTTAATGAGTTTAGTCTTTTCACAAATTACTAATTTGTAATTTCAACATTAAATGAATATTTATTAACAAATGCATGTGTTTTTTGCGCATTTGGAACTATTGTATTTTAGAAAAGTAAGCGTGCCATTAGCTGCAACGTTTTTATAATGTTAATGTGTTGAATGCAATGCAAATAAGGAGACCGAAACAAAAAATTTATAATTATACGTGGAGTGTAACAACCAGAGGTCATTCCAGAATGATAGAGTTATTCCCACACACCAACATGAAACCTTTTAGTGTGTTTTGTCCTCACTTACACACATCCCGGAAAATACTTTTCAAGAGGTCACTCATCTTAAGACTACTCCAAGTCCACCACGTTTAATTTTGGAGTTCTCTCGAGATGGGTAACCGAAAAGGTAGATGCATATTGTTGTTATGAGTAGCTCAATTAATTTCTTTAAGTTATCTTAGACTGTGTAGTCTCGTATCTACACAGTCTTCGGATCCCTCTCATTCCGGTGCGTTCGATTCATCCTTATATCCTGATCCAGAAGCCCGTCAGGAGTCGTCCATTGTCCATGCATTTCGCACCCACTCCCCTTTCTACGGTATCCTGGTTATCACATGTTTCAGATATTTTAATACGGTCAAGAGTAAAGAGAATTAGAAATATGTATAGAGACTAGAGAGTAGATAAATCATATGGTTTTGGGGAAAAAAATCACGTTAGATCAATTTTCATTTTTTTTATTAAAAATAGACAAAAAATTTACATGTGTTACATCATTAAGGATAAGGATAGAAGAATTCATCCGTAAATTTAATATATAATATTGAGTTGATTTGAGAAATATATAAAGTATTATATTTTTAAAGAGGGAAGACAGATAAATGTAAATTTTAATCATCCAATAATTTAAACAAAATTTTGTCTAAAAATATTGCAAAAACTTTTAATATTTATAAAATATTCATCTAAACTTTTAACAGTCACCTATTCAATTAAATATAATTTTAAAAAATATCCAAAAAATCGCGTGACATGGACCGACAAGCATGATAGAAAATGTTGGACATCGTGGATAGTTATCGTTGGTCGACGATATTTCCACCATCTATTTTATTTCAAATTTAACGCATATATACACACATAAATTTATCATAATCGATATAAAACTTACTTATGTTACTTATTAATCATTGATACAATATATACACATATAGATATAAATTTAATTTGTCTTAATCTGTTTTTAAAATTTAAAATAAAAAATAATTGATCTACCCACTTTCTATATAAGTGGAATCACTAATCCCATAACCACCATAACCCTGTCGCCAGGAAAAAAAAAGTATAATACTAATAATGGATTATGGATATATAATTAATAAGTCCTCAGAATTTCTCGTAAGCGCAAGAGAAAACGACCACGGTAAATATGTATTAAGCTAAAACGGTTAAGGTAATTGATTCCTAAAGCAACTGAAAACGCACCGAACGGTAAACGCCGCGTTTGCGTTTTACGGACAATGCAAAAGAATTAGAGGATGTGCGGGGTGAGTGAACTGGAGATTGCACGCACGCGTTTTGGCCTCTCATCCTTTTCCTGGGAACTGACTACGTTGACCGTTCAGTTGACCTGTTGACTGCATTTTGACCTGGTAGGAGGAACAGTACTGTGTCCACGTGGCATAAAACCATTGGTTTCTACTCTAAAAGGACAAGCACGCCTATCACTGGAGCCACAGTAGGAACTCAGTCTAAACTGTCAACACCCGAGTTGGTTAGGGTTTACACAATTCCATTATATTTTTGGATTTGATTTTTTTTTTTTTGTAAAATAATATTACTGGTTTTTATAATTTTTAATTTGGTTTGGATTAAATTTTCAATAAAAATATCTTGTTTTTTAAAATTCTTTTAATTTTGTTTTTAGATTATCATTATAATCCGTTCATTCGTGATCATTTAATTTGATTTTATAAAAAGTATACTGAATTGATTTTTTTTAAATTAAATTCGATTTAGATATAATTATATGTTATGTAATTCGATTTGTATAAAAAAAAACATACTGAATTGATTTTTTAAAAATTAAACGTCTTTAAATTACATACATGACCAAAGGAACTTACATTGTCTTATTGCAGAGCAAAAAAGAAGAAGATCCATTCGTTAAGGAAACCTTGGATGGAGAATGGCCTTGAGAGGAAAAAGCTTCTGAGAGGTCAAGCCAAATGTGTCGACGTTCTCTTCCTCGCCATCAACGAGCTTCCACTGAAATTCTTGAACCAACCTTCCAATGGCGACGCATGAAATGAGCGACGCCTGAAGAGCACCTGCACATACCCTTTTCCCCGATCCGAACGCCATCGTCTTGAAAAGATCAGACGTATCGTATTTCTCGTCCAGGAACCTCTCGGGTTTCCACTCCTCCGGATTCTCCCATCGGTTCTTATCCCTATTGCATCCGTAAATGTTTACAGCAATCTGAAATAAAGGGTCGATGTCGAGATTCACATGTACATAAACCGAACTCCAAAGCGAAAATAATGAGACACTATGAAGATTGCTTGGATTTTGTCGGTAAAATTTCCGCCTTTTTTCGAGAAGTAGTAGTACCTCACTTCCAGCGGGTATATGATAGCCGCCGATTTGGGTGTCCTCGTGGACATAGCGGAGGGGGACGAGAGGAGCCGGGCTGTATTTCCGGAGGGTTTCGTGGAAGATACCGTTGAGATAAGGAAGTTGAGGTAATCTCTCTTCTTTGATCTTCTCTCCTCCGCACACACTTCGGATTTCTTCGTATAGATTTTCCTGATAACCGAAACACATTGAGGGAACATGATCATAGAATACAAAATACAATACAGGGTAGGGGTGGGTATGATTTCTCTAAAACCGAAATCGAAATGAAACCTGAACCGAATACAAAACTAACCGAGAAAACAAAAATTTCTTTGAAAAATGAGTATTTTTTATCAATAAAATCGATCTGAATCGGAATCAAACAGAAAATGACACGAACTGAGTTCAATATAAAAACGAATGGTTTCGAACATGAAATAACCAAACCGAATCCGAAGCCAAACCAAAATGGACACATAGAGAGCGATTATATACGATTTCAAGAAAGCTACCTGGAGATTTTGTTGTTTAGCGAGTTCATACAACGCCCACTCTGTTGTGACCAAAGTTGTGTCGGATGTCTCGATGATTGTCTCCCAAACTAAGATGGCAATTTGCTCCATCTTAAGTGCCTTGGCTTCGGACAGCAAGAAGCTGAGGTAACTACCTTCTTCCTGTTTGGATCACCGCAAAGCTATGGAGATCAGAAGAAACTAAACAAAACAGAGTTTTCAGATCTATGTTCACAAAAAAAAAAAAAAAAAAAAAAAAAAAAAATTCAAAAAAAAAAAAAAAAAAAAAAAAAAAACTGGAGTGCCTTGTGCGAATCTTTCCGCTTCAGTTGATCTTGAATCAGGGCTTTCATTACAGCAAGCCTGCGGAAATGCTTTTGCTGGATTCTCGTTTCGAATTTCTTATTCGGGATCCATCTCAGATACGGGAAAAAGTCTCTCCAATCGACATCAATCGCGCCTTCCATCATGTCATGAACTAGAATCTTGAAAATCTCTTGTTTTGTGAAAGTCTTTCCGAGCTCCTCGACGTAAACTGATTCCACATCCTCTCCTAACGCCTTCAAAAAGCTCGTTTTTTACGCGGATCGTTAGATAATTACAAATAAGAGAACATAAATCGCGTTTCTGCATGTTTTCCCGAGTTCGAAAACACTCACTTGTTTCATGGCTAAGCCGAAAAGTTCATACTCGAATATTTCCCTGAAGTTCACAGGTTCTTCAGGATGGTCCTTCACATATGTGTGCAACTTGGAAGTCACATTTTCAATGAGCGCATCTCTATAGTATCGTTTTCGTTTCTGAAAATTATCGCGAGAAATAGAAAAACCGGTTAATATATCATCAAACTATATCAAGGAGGGGCTGTAAAAAAGGGCAGAACAACGGAAATGCTTATTACAATAACCTGTGCATTTGCACCCAAGAGGCCATTCAAGAGATACTTCTTGACCATTTTGTGGAAATCGTCGTAATCGCTCGTCGCGACTATACACTTGTTGCAAGTGAGAACTTCCAGCGCATTCGATAGCTTCCTAGTTGAAATGGAAGAAAACCGAGTCACCATTGCCTGAAAACAAAGAAAATGAAGATCATCCATCGTCGGGCAAGACACCGATGGTTCATTTCTTCACGGAGTTGTTTTTGAAGGTATGAGATGCAAAGATATAAGCCCGAAAGAAAGACTTCATAGCCATCCCTAAAGTGATATACATATATATACATACATATATATGTATATGATCAGTAAGATCCTCTAGTATCCATAATAATATATAATCTTGAGATGAGAAGGAAAAGGGTAATAACCTCTTTCGCGACATGGGTAGAATTGAGAACGATAACGGTGGAGGCGCCGGTCTTGATAGAGTAAATGGGACCATAAATCTCAGCCCATTTCGTGAATGTCTTGTGGGGTTTCTTCTCTTTCAGCTGCAGCAAGTTCCCTAACAATGGCAATCCTGGTACCACTGCATCACCAACCGAATTTCCACCAGACACTTATGACAATCCAATTCGATGTTTAAATTTTTTATCAAATGCGATGGTATATGATCAGAAATCAAATTTCTCACAATGGCAGCAAGACCCATAAACACTAAAAGACTTGGTTTTTAGTGTTCTTTTATCAGAGTTCAGATTGACCCAAATCACGAAATCAATCGAGACAAATTTGGACTCGAATTCGGATAATAGTAAGAAACAGAGCTACTGATCAAATCAGACAAAAAATAGCTTGATGTTTTTGACGCTTTTGTACAGTTCCACGTATCAAACATCAATCTCAAGTGAAATATGATCAACAATCGAAGAACCAGATGACCAAAACAGCTAATACCCTACTTCTCAGTGACAAATCCTTGGTCCGATCACCCAAACTACAAAACCCTATTGATCAAATCGAAGAACAGACACAAAACCCAAAAGCCCAGAAGGAGAAAAACAAGATTTGAACAGTGAAATTACCAGGAACGGGAGGGAGTCTAGAAGAATCCATGATCCGCTTTCTGGAGAATAAGAGGAAAAGCTTCCTCAAGAACAAGAGGAAGAGCAAGAAGGAGACAACGACGCCGACAACAATGGAGGTCGAGGAGGGCATTTCTGTGGCGTTTCAGTGTGATACTCCTCCAAACATATGCATTATATTTGGATGTCGACAAGCTGAAAGAGACTGAGGCCTCTGGGGTTTTCCTATTTATTGGTACTTGGAGAAGTTTTGGAAGTTTTTATTTGGAATTCGTGTGTATTTGGGAGCATGTGAATATTCAATTTTTTTTCTTGGATAAAGCATTTTGAAATTTTCATTACAGGACACACCGTGGCCTGTCCTAATGTCTCTTTCATTATGCAATTCAAACATTGTACTCTCTTAGGGGTATTTTTGTAATTTCCAAACAATCAAAGAAAAGTTTTATAGTTTTTAAGGATAATTTCGTAAATAAATTACAAAATCCGAATTTTAGTTCGAACTCCGATCTACGGATAATTTTGTCTTACAAATCCTAACTCAAACTCGATTTGTTTACTGCAAACGGGATATCGACTAGGTGGCAATTTTCCCATTTTATACATTTGATTCGAAGAGAATTGTGGTATTATCATTTGGTTTAGATTGTGGTTTTAGTCATGTTTCCGTTTAATCAATCAGATTATGACAAAAATCTGCAAATTATGAAACCAAACCGAATTAAGTTTGGTAACTATTGGATTAGTAATTTCCAAATCCCAAGCAAAAGCCAAAAAGATGGCATCAAAACCTCGATTTTGTTCGAAATTTCGATTTTAAATATCATCAAATCCGAACCAAAATTGAACCTTAAATCGGTTTAAAATGGACTCGATGTTTCCAAAATGTACAAGCAAAATAGGAGACAGAGAAGAGTAGGAAGCGGGGAAAAGATGGTATAATCAATTCTCATATTTAATTCTATAACGTAAAACAAATACTTTTGTGAATATGTAAATGCCAGTTTTATATTCCATGTCTTCCGATATCAAGTACATTTTGCGGGAGTATAACTCCTAAACTTATAGATACAAATACCGATATTGTACATCAAAATGGATCTTAGGGTAATTAATTCATCATTAGAGTATAGTAGCATTGGCCTACTTAATCAAACACCGACCGATTCTCATTGCCCAATACATCAATCCCAAAACTCTCATAGAACATGCATGGGAGAATTTCATATGGTATGATCCTTCCACAAAGTTCATATGATCAAGCAAGTTATATTTATGTCAAACGATAAACTAATAAGCCGGCCCGGTCTAGCATTTGAGAAGGGTTAGATCGCTTGTGTGTTCTGCAAAGTCCATCCGCCAATTCGACCGTCCCAACGTGAACTCTAAGTTAAGCTTAAGATCCGTCTCTTGCCCGTTTCTCTATTATATGTACCCAAAAGACGATTTAATATTCAATAATAATCGGCTAATAACGTTGTTATATATATATATATATATATATATATATATGTGGGTGTGGAATATATATATATATATAGATAGATATATATATATATTGAGATCAAGAGAAAAGTACCTTGCTATTCTCATTTGTTTCCAAGAGAGGATGAGATAAGGCATTTGCTTGGTTAGATATGGTCATACCACTTGGACCCATTGAAGATGACCAAGATGCTCTGTCCACGTTATGATCAAAACGACATTTAGAGAAAACTATAATCTAAATTGTTCGACCGTTTTTGGAACATTCATCGTTATATATATATTTTCCTGTAAGAAATATAGACAAAAGATCGATGTTTTGTTATGTTTCTTCAGTATCATTACGTCATCATCAGAGACATCTGATTTTGAATAGTCAAACGGTCAAGATTTACATAAACCCTAGGAGAAGGTCGCATTCATCAAAATCCACGCAGAATAACAAGAAGGTTAACGGGAAAGTAACTATTGTTTTTTTTTTTTTGGTAAAGGTATAATTTATATTTAGAAGGAAAAGACTTATTAAATATATAAATAAAATAAAAGAGATAAAAATTAAATTATGTAAATTACCTTTGGGTCTTTTGTAGGGATGATGGGCTGGGAGAAAACGATGGAGCGTTGTTCTTATTATTATGCCCCGTCTCTTGCTCTGAACCTTTTTCTCCATCCCCTTCACCTGCTTTTCCCCGAAAAAATATTTATTTCATTCTCGGGGGAAAAAAATAAAAATCTACATATATATATACATAAATGCCCATTTACAACATTTACGTTTATATATTTTACCAAAAAAACATTTACATTTATATAATACTATGATTTCTTATCATATTTGTGTTGTTTGGGGGGGGGGTCAGATCAGTTACCTGGTGATCCTTTGTCAGTGCTCTTCACTGTTCTATACATCTGCATAAGCAAACCCCAAATTTATTAAAATAAATCAGATAAAAGATAAATTAAATCAGACAAAAATAAAGATAAAGGAGGTCCACGCCGGCTAAGGTTGCTTCAACTAATCAATTATATGTTACCTAGTTCTGCAGAGAAAAAAATCCAGCCATGACCATTGATATATATATATATATACACATATATATTTCCCTATGTATATTTTCAACAATATACAGACATACATACCCACATTATGACATAGATATGTATTAGGTGCATACAAAATCTGAAGGCGATAGTTTTTATGGGGAAAAAAAAAGATAGAAATATGTAATCCGACCTGTAAATGGCTCTTGACATGAGCTAAGGTTAGATCCTTTACATTCATCAGCTCTAACACCGATTTTGGCGTTGCTCCTGCGGCCATTTACGCAAGAACAAAAAAAAATGAAACAAACTCCACAAAGAAATCAAATCCAAGAAAGAAATCTTGTAAAAAAGAAACTGTAACCCTAAAGGGCTAAGTCAATTAGGGTTTTCACAGTCATTCCATATTCCGAGCATTTCACCAAAAACAAAAGGAGGGTATATGTGTAAATATACTTTCGTGGCCGCCAAGAAGCTGGACGGCGTGAACGAAGTGCGCATGGAGAGTGGAAGTCCAACGCATTCTCGGAGCTCGAATGTTTCTCTTTACGCCCACCATGGGAGCTCCGGACGACAAAGAGCTCCTCTTGAAATCTCGGCCGTAGATTTGGGGTTGGTAGACGTGATGCTGATGCTGATGACGATGGTGATGTTGTTGTTGTTGGTGATGATGATATGTTATAGGGTTAGGATGATCAAAGCCTAGGCTCAGGAGGGGCTTGTCGCTGAAGAGGCCATTTTCATGGCTCAAGTCGCTGAGTGTGCTGCCCGAGTCGCTGCTTGTTGAGCTCCGGTCGCCGGCGAGAGGTTTTCCGGCGAAAGAATGGTTGGGAGGGCTAATTTGGAGAGACAGATCTGGGGGAGAGTTTGAAGCTCTCATTGGTTTTGTGTTTGAAGACACAACTCTATCATACAAAAAATATCTCTTTGTCTACGACCAAGCTCTCTTTGTTTAAATAGAGAAAGAGATGCTCAGAGAGAGAGAGAGAGAGAGTTGCAAATACAAGCAAAATAGGAGACAGAGAAGAGTAGGAAGCGGGGAAAAGATGGTATAATCAATTCTCATATTTAATTCTATAACGTAAAACAAATACTTTTGTGAATATGTAAATGCCAGTTTTATATTCCATGTACCATGTTACAGTACTGATTGAAAGCGTAGCAGTAGATGTACATATATAATAACTTTGGTTCAAATGTGATACAGAGCACTGCACTCAAACCCAAACGTGAAAAATGAGTAGAAGGCAATTAAACCCGGCGAAATAATTACTTGAAAAAAAAAATAAAAATTGAAATTGTAAATGTAGAAAAGGGGAGAGAGAAAGAGACGAAGAGAGAGAAAAATGGTTGTGATAATTAGATAATGAGTGCCCTATGATTTGCATGTTTACCGTTTTTGTTTACATTTTTTTTTTACTCTTCTCTATGCTCAAAAATAGGCTTTTTCTTTGGACATGGCTAGTAGACCGATGCGTCTAGGGTTTGATGGAAATTAACACTGCAGAGGCTAATTTATAATTTATTTTTTATTTAATACTTATATATATATACACTCCCTTGTGTTATATTCATCGCATTAACAAGTCTCAGATCTTAAAGTTGACTGAGAAAGCAACCGAGACTTTCTCATGGGGATTCTACTTTGAACCAAAAAAGTTGGCCTCAAGGGCATTTTTGTTCATCTTTGCACAGTGAGAGAGACAGCTAAGCACCCAAATCACATTAATTGACACATATATATACATATATATATAGAGAGAGAGAGAGTCATATGTGCTTGCGTTTATATGATATATTACTTTGATTCATGTGATTTATGTAAGATCAAAATATATATATGTGGAATATAATATATGTAGGAATATATATAGTTCAGTTCATCGAAAAGAATGCACGTGGGCGCTCACGGCACTTGGGCATATGATCTTAAAATTCACCTTTCTTTGGATTTCTTTACGTTATCATGCAATAAGATCCAAATTTACTTTACTCTGAGTTTAGGGTTCGTCGTATCTTTTTATTTTCATCAAGAGTTTATATGAACATCATTCTTTCTTCTTCTGTAAATCACATCTCATGTTACTTCTACATGTTATTTGCTTGTAATAGAATTCAAGAATTTCCAACTTGATGGCATTTTACTTTCACATGGTAATTCTGAAAATCAAATTCCGCACTTTCAGAAAAATATTTTTTTGTACTTCAAATGTTTTGTTCGGGATAAGCATAGTTTACGAATTGCTTCATTAATTGGGGTTGTGTTTGAGCTCTCCTACGGAAAAAAAATTGTTGAAATAAAAACCGAAATCTTAATGTGTGTGTGTATATATATATTATATGTGTAAACTAGGGATTCGTGGTTAGACTTCGAGAAAGCGAAAGGGTAAATAAATACACAAGGATATAAAATTGATTTTTTTGTTTTTGCCGCTTTAGTTTTTTGTTCTCTTGCTTAGATTTTTTAAAACAAGGAAATTTGCGTATTTTTAGCAGAAAATTATTCTAATTATTGGTTAAATTATTTCTTCTTAGAAATTTAGAATTATTCATTTTTATCTCATTGGAATTAGGTAATTCAGCCAATAGAAATTCTTATGGAGAGACTCAAAATTCAAAATCACTATGTATAGTAAGTTAAAAGAATGTTGTCAAATAAAGAGCATAACAGACATATTTTTTCCGTATGTTCTTTTATAACATTTAAATTACCCTCACTTAATTGTGTTTATTGAACTTCCATTGAGATTTACTTGTTCCTGTTAAAAAAAAATCAATCACCATTGTTCAACTTCAATGACTTATAATCTTATCTACCAAAAATCTAAATATGTAGCTGTTAACCGGAGCAAATTAAATAATCAAAATCAAAATCTGAAAACCGATTTAGTTCATCTTAAATAATCAAATATAAATTGACTAAAAAATAACCAAAAAAAGTATGTTTAAAAAAATGCGTTTGTTATTATGAAAATCAAAGTGAAAGATTTGAACCAAAACAAAATATGAAATCGAAACTCATATTTTAAATAAAACCGAACCCACACATTCCTTCTGTATTTTCTCGTAATTTTTGTTCAATTAATTAACTGCCGCATTTAATCAGAAAAAAAAAACATTCATTTGGAGAATACAAATATTCCATTTTATTACAAAATGTTTAGTATTCCCACGTACGAATCATCGAGCACATCGATCTGTATCGCTTTTGCAAAACCCTCAAAAAGAGCAACGCCTTTTCGAGTCCTTCATCAAAATCCATGAAGCTCTTTTGTTTCTGATTACTCAATGCTTGCAATTTTTAAAAATGTGTTTTGAGCTTAAAGTAATTACATTTATGAAATGGATTTTTATTTAATTTCTATATAAGGATTCAGAAATCCGTCGCCACCTTCATCAAAATAATACGATTATAAGGACCGACTACGCCAATTATATGTATTCTATATGCTTCATATATATCGCGTTGATCTTTAAAAACTGAATATCGAATCATGGCACACATTTAGTACGAACTTCAAGTGGTTGCGTTAGATCGTTATAAATATTATAGACGTTAATATTTTACCATTATTTTGCGCTACATTATTCAAAATAAAATATTTATAAACGAATAAAATACGTTGGCATTCATTATATAAGACCAGGAGGGGGTGTGCACGTACGAAGCAAATACGGTAAAAAGGGCAATAATCGGACCAAGCTGTACACGTGCCGTGATCTAACCAAGGATTATTCCGTTAGTTACGAATAATAATATATATGAAAACTAATATAAACGAAATTGGAAAATCTTGATCACACAAGAATTGGATTAATTAAATTTAAATAAAAGAGATTGAAGAAGTGTCAGATTGGCTGGCGACAGCAGCTTCATAGACCCACATGTTGCTCTCTCCTTATACTCCACGCGCCTCGTTCATCGCGTGTTCCCACGCCCTATATATGCGCTTTAGTAACAATATTTACTATTTAGCGCGTGAGAGGGGCGCGTGAGTAGAAGATATGGGAGAAGGCGTCGAATTCAACGGGTAGCATTTGTCGTGGCACGTAGATGTTGCATGGGAGCGCCCACTATTCCCCTCCTTAATTTTCTTATGCTTTTGCCATATTATAAGTTAATTAGCTTAATTTTAGTATTACATCCTATTTATGTTTATATCGTATACATACATATATGTATTATATTATATTTTTGTTTTTGGTTGCTGATCAAGTCAATCTTCCGACATCTACATATGTTTTTTGTTTCATCAGACACACGCTCTCTAATCCTAAATACCACATCCTTCTCAATATTCTCATATTAATCATTGATTTTCGATTAGAAACGAACATTATGTGTATATATATCGTGAATGTTTTATTTTATGTAATTTAAATAGTATGAAGAAAATGACAAGTAATCAGATTCAATTTTTTTTTTAAAAAGGAATAAGAAGACAAGAAAGGTTGAGTAATGAAACAAAAAGAAATATAGATAGAAAAAGGTTTGTAGTTCCGGTCGGTATAGGAAATCATTATTCAATAAGGTGTCATTTATATTAGAAAAAAATAGGGTTAATTAATTTATTTATTTTTTTGAAAAAAAAGATAGGTTAAATAGAATTTGTGAAGCCAAGAGTCAGCGTCTGATGCGCTCTAGATTCTCCGGGAAGTGGGATAATTTTAACTTCTTGTGTTTGAACTAATTAACAAATTGAAATTAATAGTGAATAATGCTTAATTAGTACTAATCGAGTAATTAACCATTCCCTTTTGGATGTATTAAAGAACATTTAAGGAGAGAGGGTGTGAAAATTAGGTCAACATGTCTCTCTCTCTCTCTCTATAATGCTCTGTCGCTTGTAATGTTTCCAAATGCTTTTGTTCTTTATTCCATATTCCATGTGTTTGTCTTGTAATAACTCCATCTTGACTCCTTTTTTTTTATATTTCTAACGTTGAAGAAAGATCGGATAAAAAAAACGTAAAAAAGAGTACACCAAAATAAAATATTCTTCGTATACAAAAAAAAAGTAAAAAAAAAGAAGAAGCAGGGAGTAATGAGGATTAAGTAATCAGAATATTCTAGATATGAATCGTTAGTGAGGAATTGGCTAATGATTTAAGATAATTAATTAGCTCAATTCTCGGTGATATTTGACTAGTTTTTGCCTAAACTATTTGAAATTTAATTTTCAACTACCAGCATATCAAACATTAATAATCACAACACAAAGAGAAGCTATTTAATTAATTAATACCTAATAAATTATATATATATATATATATATATAGATATATAGATAGATAGATATAAGTATGTGGCTCATACCTTTCACTTCCACTTGAAGGGAGGAACAAATACATTCATAAATCACGTGCTAATGCAACAAGATGACACTTTTTTTTATATTGAAAATATCATTTATAATATCCCGCTAGCATTAGACTAGTAGTTACATTTTAATTTTCTGAATTAGATGACTTTGTATTCGTTTCCTATTTCCTATATATAAAGTTTTCAAGAAAATGAAAAAGAAAAAGAGGATTTAGAAGCCATTTTTTCTGTATTCTTTAGCTAAAAGTGAAAAAAAAAATAAAATGGTTGGAAACATATTACATATAATATATACTAAATTGAATCAAATATGACGTACGAATTGAGTATCTTATATTCGAAAATAAATGAATCTAATTATCACAAAAAAAAAATTCAAATGGAATTTTAAAAATATTTCGATATATTTTAAAAAATAAAATTAATCAAATCTAAATAACAAAAAACTAGCATAATAAATTAAATAAGCTTGAAAATGTCTACGTTTGCAAGAATATTTAGGTTGAGTATAGTGATTCGTGCGTGGAATTTGTTTTTTGAAGATTCGTTGAAGGGTTTGGAAGATGTGTGCGACTTCGATAATCGAAATTTACAATAATATGCAAAAAAAAAA